ATATTTTATTGGTGTGCAAAATAAATTTTTTCTCATGAGAACCAGTTCAGGCTGCATCATAATAATTAGAGGCTTTATTTTAAAAACCAAAAGAACAAAATAAAAATAGTTGTATTGAGTCCTATGGCAAACATATGTATTGTTTATGTTGGGGATGGGGAAACTTTTCTCTTTCTCTCTTAGTTTTTCTGGCTGGTGTTACCAGACCAAAGGAGTCTGTTTGCCTACATACATCAAAGACCAATCAAAGAGGAACAGGAGTTTGCAGCCAACAAAGTAAGGGTTTATTAGTCGGGGAAATGGCTCCAAGCCATTTCCTCAACTAATAAGTAAAATAGTGCTCAAAAACCTGGCTTCCTGAGGATGGGTTATATAGGGGGAAATCATCCATCATGGTGACTAAAGGAGTTGTAGTGTAGGCTCGACTGATTGGTTGGGGCCAGGGTAGGGAGTAGTTGATCATTGTACATGTCAAGCAGGGCACGGTTCTGTCTGGTTTGGGAATATGTGATCAGCAGGGTTGGTTAGCTTTCATAGGCCTGTGGTTGAAACACAATTGAAGTTAAGATGTTATCTTTAGCGTGACAACACTGTTTCTGTGGCCAACATATCTACAGATTTGTTCCTAAGATAGTTTGATGCTGACCAGAATCTGATGTCCTAAGGCAAAGGTTGCCAACCTGTGGGTCGCGACTCCTTTGGGGGTCGAACGACCCTTTCACAGGGTCGCCTAAGACCATCAGAACACACATATATAATTACATATTGTTTTTGTGATTAATCACTATGCTTTAATTATGTTCAATTTGTAACAATGAAACTGGGGGTCACCACATGAGGAACTGTATTAAAGGGTCACGGCAATAAGAAGGTTGAGAACCACTGTAAGGGCTTAATGATTAAAGAAAGGAATGAATGTGAACAGAAAGGAAAAAGGATCATGTTAAAGAAATGAAATTTCTGAGCCCTTATACTGGTCAAATAATTTAAGACACACAGTAAATTAACAGGAGAGAATCAAGTTATTTATTTATTTATTTATTTATTTATTTATTTATTTTGATTGACTTTAGAGAGGAAGAGAGAGGGAGAGATAGAAACATCAATGATGAGAGCGATTCATTTATCAGCTGACTTCTGCACGCCCTACACTGGGGATCAAGCCTGCAACCCAGGCATTTGCCCTGACCAGGAACCAAACCGTGACCTTCTGGTTCATAGGTCAGCGTTCAACCACTGAGCCATGCTGGCTGGGCAAGAATCAAGCTTTAATAAATGCACATGGGAAATTTACATAAGTATGAAAATTTCAAAGACATAAAGCAAAATGAGATATATATGCCACTCAGAGCTAAGGAGGGAGAAGTAAGGCAATTCACGGGGAGATGAAAAGAGTTATTGTTTATGATATTGATCCATCTTGAAACAGTGGGTCACAAAGAAGACACTTTGCTAGATTCCTCCTGTCAATTACATCTAGTTTATATTAAAACTAGAGGACTGGTGCATGAATTCGTGCACCAGTGGGGTCCCTCGGCCTGGCCTGAGGGATTGGGCCAAAACTGGCTCTCTGACATCCTGTGAGGGGTCCCAGATTGCGAGAGGGCACAGGCCAGGCTGAGGGACCCCACCGGTGCACAATCAGGCCAGAGAGGGATGCGGGAGGTTGGCGGGACCGTGGGAGGGCTCCAGGGCATGTCCAGCCCATCTTGCTCAGTTCCAATCGGCCGGACCCCAGCAGCAAGCTAACCTACTGGTCAGAGCTTCTGCCCCCTGGTGGTCAGTGCACATCATAGGGAGCAGTTGAGTGGCCTTAGCATATCATTAGCATATTACACTTTGATTGGTTGAACTGTCTACTGGATGACCAGACACTTAGCATATTAGGCTTTTATTATATAGGATATAGTCATCTGTGATGATAGCTCTCTTCCTGGAGCAAGTCCTTGGACTAAATTATTTTAGGAAATAAGGGGGAATGTTGTAGGTGGTGGGAAAGGCACCAAGTGTCTGACCAGTGGGGTCAGATCAAATTGGGTTCAGCAACCTTAGTACTTGGGTTTGTCAAGGAAGATTTCAAAGTCCAGCCCAAACTGTAAGGTTTTAAGGCAGAGATTTTTGGGGAGGTCCTAGGGAAAGATCCTAATGGACTATTCAGCAGTTTCCCAGGTGTGTCCTTTCAGGATTGTGGTTTCCAATTGAGAGGAGTTAGTTTAAAACGCAGGCAGATAGGGCAGGGGTCCAGTGGAAAACAAAGGTAGGTGGAACATAGGCAGGGGCAGACATGGCAGTTTGAGCCAGCCTAACCACAGGAACCAACCAAGCAGAAATAATAAAATGTTTCTGGACTCAAGGTGAGAGGCATGTGAAACTAGGGAGGGCCTGCAGCAACAAGGTGTATGAAAGCATAGAAACAGAGAAAGTTCAGCATAGGAACAGAGGAAGAACACATAGAAACGGGAAGTTCAGGTTCATTGCTGGGCAAAAACAATTGAGGGAATCAATCAGGTGACGACACGGATGGCTATAGAAGCAGGCTTGTAGCAAATATATACCCCTGGACGACAAGGGTTTAATGGGAAGCCATAATTGGTTCCCATCCCCTTGTGGGGAGTTTGAATCTGCTTATAATAAGTTTTCCACGCTTAAATCTTCTGGTCCTGTTGTGGACGAACATTCGTGAGAATAAGACCACCGACTCCAATTAGGTCTTAAACAGCAAGCGAGGATTTATTGAGCTGGCCAGTGACTACAGTTACAGCACCCTGCTGAAGCAGAGGCTGAACTGCAGTGCAGACTACAAGAGTTACATTTTATTATTAAATTCTGTGGGGGCCCAGAGAAAAATGTGTCTTTCAAATTCTGGGTCCCCAATAGGGAGGAAACTCTCTTTATTTATACTTTTCCCAGTTCTTTATTTCCAGTCCTTTGGAATGAGACTTCCGGGCCTTCTGAGAAAGAAGGCCTGTGTGCTGGGAAGGGGCCATGAGACCATATCTCAAGGCCTGGCCTGATGTCAGTACCTTCCTATCTATGTGTTCTAGGACAGAGAGTACAGCATGACCCGTCTGGCCAAAGCACCAGATATGCAGCCCAGCACAGCCCTCATAGGTCATTCTTCAGCGTCACAAGACACAACCCCGGGAAAACACCTTGGCTCACCGTTCTGCTTATCACACTGACTGATTGGCCTGCACCAGGGCAGTGGGTCATTATTCAATGCAGCTGGTCTTAATGTCAGCCATGGCTGGTTTTGTTGCTTATCTTGGCCTGGAGCAGAAATACAGAGACATAGGGAGGAAAGGTCAGGGGGTCCAAACCACATGACCAGTGATAGGGGAGGAAAAGTCACCCTGGAGGCAAGGTCCCACCCTACAATTGATTGTCCGTTGCTAGGCACATGGGGCTTTCCACCCCATGACCTTCTGTACCTGGCCCAGCATCCTTGCTCTGCTCCCAACTGTCTAACTGCCTACAGCAGGAAGATCAAAAGTTTTTCCTGAGCTGTCCGAGTTTTAATAGTTTTCAGCTTGAAATAATCTGTGTGCCAGAGTGACACATCTTGGAGTGACTCATTCTGAACCCCTACAGTTAGAATGTAAACAGCTTTATCAAGTAGATGAATGTCAATAAAAAATTGATGCTGTTCTAGCCATTAAATATTAACACTGTGGACCCAGAGAATTAACATTCGTTTGATGTGAACCCTGGAAAGGAATTTATTTGCTGAGATTGGACTTCCTTTGGTCAACTGAGGGCCCCAATTTTTTTTACAAAAAATATGTCTTTATTGATTTTTAGAGAGAGAGGAAGGGAGAGGGACAGAGTGAAAGAGACATCAATGATGAGAGAGAATAATTGATTGGCTGCCTCCTGCATGCCCCCTATTAGGAATTGAGCCAGAAACCCAGGCATGTGCCCTGACAAGGAATCCAACCATGACCTCCTGGTTCCTGGGTCGAAGCTCAATCATTGAGCAACACTGACCAGGCCGAGGGTCCAAATTTTATAAATAGTAAGAGCCAGAGGGAAGACAGGGGAGGGTGGGTGGAAAGTGATCAACCAAAGAATTTGTATGCATATATGATAACCTATGGACACAGGCAATAAGGTGGTGAAGACCTGGGGTGGGGTGGGCTAGAAGAGGTCAGTGGGGGGAGGGACATATGCAATACTTTCAACAATAAAGATTTAATTAAAAAAAAAAAAGAGCCAGTGATTTGCTGACAGGAGCACCTCACATACTCTGTATACACAGAAGAACCTCAGACTGAACTCTCAGCTTCCCATACTATGCCCACTGTTTACAGGTCTGAGTCAACCACTGCAGGGAAACCCTGGTTTTAACTTTTTATCAACAGATTGAGACCTGCCCTGTTCAATAAAAGCTGCACGATTTGAATATCTCATTTACATAAAACAGATGTAATTGGCAACATGGGCTGGAATGTAGAAAAGGAGTCCTCCCCTACATCTTGGGGAATGCAATTTAGGTTGCTACCTGAGTCCGTGTCTCCCAGTGGCAGCTGCTTTCGAGATAGGCTAGTAAACCAGGGCAAATGGAATAGGGAAACTGAAACAGTTAAACAGCAGTTTGCAGCCATGTAGAAAATCTAGGTGCCAAGCAGTTTGCACCCATCCAGGAAATCCTATCTCCCCTAAACCAAGGACACTGAAGAGTAAATGGTTTGCACTCCCCCCCACTTCCCAACCAGAAGGTAAGTAACTTAAATCACCCTACTCAAGGGAGAAAGCAGAAATCCAGTTAGTGCCATTTACCAACCACACCCAAGGACGGATGAAGTTAAGAGAATAAATCTAACTTTGGTACATCAGCACAAAGCTGATGAATATTCTATTGAGATCCTCCCCTAAACATCTAGCCTTTTTATCATTTTTAAAAATATATTTTTATTGATTTCAGAGAGGAAGAGATATAGAAATGTCAATGATGAGAGCAAGTCATTGATCGGTTGCCTCCTGCACACCCCACACTGGGGATTGAACCTGCAACTGGGCCATGTGCCCTGACTGGGAATTGAACCGTGACCTCCTGGTTCAGTGCATAGGTCGACGCTCCACCACTCAGCCAGGCCAGCTGGGTTAAACGTCCAGGCTATAAACCCCCCCCACAATGAAGGTCCCAACGTTTGCTATCCCTCCCATGAGTACACCTGCATCTTACCCCTCCCCCTCACCTTCATGCATCTCCTAAGGGACCCCACGAGGCTTGCAACCAGGGCAGCAACCAACAGTGGCATTTCATCCCAAGCAAACTCCCTGATTCTGTCCCCAAGGCCCCCCTTTCTCTGACTCAGTGAGTCAAAGCATCTCAGTTTAGAGCCATTTTCTCACAGAATCCCCCTCCTGATGAGGGGAAGTGGGAGGGGGGGACGTAGACCAACGATTAACACCAAAAGTGCCGGGAGCGCTATCAAAGCTTCGAAATGGCCTCCAGTTCTAAGTCTGCTTTTATTAGTGATGATGATATTGCTAAATATGTCAATGCAGTAAAGGTTTCCTTAAGTTTTTGAAAATGTAACTTCATTTATTTGTGATTCATAATTTGTTTCCTAAACTGCTGTAAAATCAGCAAAAATGCCTTGGCAATTTTAGCAATTTTAGCATAGTTCCTAGGATATTGATTGGCATTCAAAGGGTTAAGGCTGTTCTGTAGTGAGCCAGTGCCCCTGGGCTGTGACCTTCACAAGTCCTACTTTCCTCTTGAGACAGGAAGGCCAGGAGGTTTCAAATTTTAAGCTATTCCCTCCCCCCCCCCCCTAAACCCCGTAAATAGTTTCCCTAGAGGGCAGGCTTTTGATAAGGAGAACAAATGCTCAGGGTGTTGCAGAAGACAAAAGAAATACCAAGCATGAGTCCTAGAGAAAGGGAGGGACCCCATTTATTAACACTAGTGGACTCCGGGAATACTTTCCAAATCAGAGTGAAGTAACAAGCAGAGGCTTCGCTTTTTATAACCTTCTGGGGTCTTTGTCCTGCAGATATGGTTCTGCCCCCTTTCATATGGTTCCTCCCCCTTTCATGGGCTTACAGGAAGGCCCCCCGCCCCATGATGATCTGTTCTGGGGCCAGCGATAATGACCTCCCCCCCCCACCCCAGGGCAGTGCATTGTTCACAGTTTTTATGGCCTGACAGGCCTTGCAAAGACCAGTTTCCTCCTCAAGGTCTTATTTCAAAGTGGGTTAATTTCTGTTCTTTTAGGAAGTATGAGGCCAGAGGTGTTTTGTTTTGTTTTTCTCAATTGTTTGCCCAGAGAATCTGTTGGGGTTCTGGAGGTAAAACTCACAAAAGTGTGAGCGTTTTCCTAACACTAAATTCCCCTCGTTTTTTAATTCTGAAGTTTATCCACACTGAGCCTCTAGCAATTCATCAAGGACAGTTGAAGTGGTCATACCACTGTGGATGAAAAGGGGTTCTATGGAAAGTAACCTCCCGGGATGATCTTAAATTCCTAACTGGGCAGGTCCCGGTGAGTAGTCACACCCTACCTTAAGCAAGACCTGCCCACTGTTTCTGTGAATCTAGGTTAGCATACCTTTGAAATGCCTCCTTTCAGACTCAGCTAGTACATGCCCAGAAGGCCATAAGTAAAACCGCCCTCCAGAGAGCACATGATCTCATGAACTATCCTGTAATCCAATCCCTGCCTTGCTTTCTCCTGCCTTCATGTAATCTTCCTTTTAGTTCCTCCTAATTCCAAATGCGTGAAAGGAAAACCACAAAGCTGTCATTCATCGAAGCATTTGAGATCTTGCTTCCTGGCAATTGTCCTCAGTTTTGGCTCAAATAAACGCAGAAAAAATTCCCTACAGGTTTGGACATGTTTATGTCAACATCAGTACTGGCTCCAAAAGTGGACTTTTGCTCCAGGTAAGCCTGTCTCTCTAATTTTGGGGCCATGGTTTGTCTTGTGACCTCAGTTCTCTGCTGGATCTAAGAAAAATGATTGATTTTTTTCGGTTCAGCTTTTTTCTTGTTGTGAAGATGGGAGAGGCAACTTTCAAGCTCTTTGTATGTCAGACTGGATACCAATGGGAGCTTCTTACTATAATTTTTAACTTACTAACATTAAACAAATAATTTTTAAACCTTTTGTAGCTCATGGCAGTTTTAACTTTTATTTCAGAACTTCCTTCTATAAATTCTTATGTACACATTCATCTCACTGTGAAGTATATGGATCCCCAACCACCTGGGAATGGAAAACCAAAAGGAGGTCAGCAAGTAGAGTCAGCTAGGGTTTGCCATAGACTGAGGGGGGCGGAGCAGTCACAGCCTCTTGGTTACCTTGGTAACCACAGAATAAATTTATTATAGCACTGAAGCAAAAAACTCAGACATATCCATTTGCAAATTGAACTATAATAACACCATCCAAAATAAAATATAAAAATAAAAGGGGTAAGCATAAATAGTTCTGTAAATATAAAAATATTATACTTAATTTGCACTGAAACAAAATTTGCCTACTTATTCTATATCAAAATCTTTAAGCTCCCCCCCCCCCCATTTTCTATTATGCTCTCTTCCAACTACTTCTATTTCTCTCTTTAGTTCTTACTCTTATTCTCCCTGTCATTGTTTCTCCTTCCCTATTAACCCTATGGTCAGCCGCCTCTAAGATGGTCCCCAATGATCTCTGCCTCATTCATGCATGACCTTGTGTCAAGTGTGGGCTGGACCACCTACTGACTTGCTTTTTCAGAATACAACTGAAGTGATGAGGTGACACTCCGCGTTAGATTAACTAAGAGACTGCGGCTTCTATCCTGGGAGGGTTCTCTTGCTCTCTGGCTCTTAGGGCAGCCAGAAACAAGAGTGTGAGCAAGACCTGAAGCAAGGAACTCATATCTCTGGGCAACAGTCAATGGGGACCTGAGGCTTGCCATCAGCCACATATATGAGCCTGGAGCTAGGAAATTAATCCTTCCCAGCTGAGCTTTGAGATAACTGCAGCCCAGGCCACCAGCCTGACTGCAGTCTCGCGAAAGAGGCACCCAGCTACATCACCCCAGATTCTGGACCCACAGGAAATAGGAGATCAGACATGTTTGCTGTCCAAAGCCACTTTTATATAGCAATGACCCTTTTGTATCCCTCTTTGTCCTGGCTTCCCCATTTTGAGGAAACTAAAGTGAACAAAGTGTAGCATTTAGGTATTCATATTCTGCTAGTGATACTGCTATCAAAATTGCAAAGTAATTTAGTCTTCAAATTATTTACACCTATAAAGTTCTAAAACATGAATTCTAAGAATTCCATGCCGAAACCGGTTTGGCTCAGTGGATGGAGCGTTGGCCTGCGGACTGAGGGGTCCCGGGTTCGATTCCGGTCAAGGGCATGTGCCTGGGTTGTGGGCACATCCCCAGTGGGGAGTGTGCAGGAGGCAGCTGATCGATGTTTCTCTCTCATCGATGTTTCTGGCTCTCTGTCCCTCTCCCTTCCTCTCTGTAAAAAATCAATAAAATATAAAAAAATAAATAAAAAGAATTCCTATGTGGAAGTCCTAACCACCTGTACTTTAGAATGTGACCTTATTTGGACATAGGATAGTTTTAGATGAAATTAGTTAAGATGAAGTCATTCTATAGTGGGCTGGGCACTAAAACCGGTGACCACAGTTTTTACAAACAGAAAATTTGGACTCTGGTGCACACACACGGGGAGAAGACAGCTGCCTACACAGCGAGAAGCCCAAGTAATCCTGTCCTCACAGCCCTCAGGAGTGCAATAAGGAGTGTTTTATAGAGTGTGTTTACATTATGTCTATGATGTGAAGCCATCATGTTTTTTTAACTCTAGATATGGGGCACGGCTACAGTGTTTTGGCCAGGTTCAAGTCTTGGACTAATGAAAAAACAGGGTCCTCTCATTGCCATGTGCAAGTCCCAGCTGGAGGGCAGGGTCCTCCCAGCACAATTATAGCTAACAGCTACAGCTGTGAGCTTGAACCTATGGTCTGAACACGTGGCCCATGTGCCTTGTGATAGAGTTCAGGTGCATGTAGTTGAGTGAGGGTGAAATTCACGAGAATGCTGTAAACAACTTGATCACGCCCCTACTCTGCCTCGTGGCATCTGCTATAAAATAAAGACACAGCTTGTGGGCGCTGGCGCTGTCTCCTCATCAGGGAGCAGCGTCCCACCAAGACCCAGCTTTCATTCTCTTGTCTGTCTTTTCTCAATCCTTTCACAACCCGCCCGCCCCCCCCCCCCCCCCCCCCCGCCGCCCCAGGATCACCTTTGGCCGTAACAGCTAGATGTTGTGATTTGTCTTTAAAGCACTAAGTTCTGAGAACCATGTGCTTCCTTGTAATTTCTCTGTATAAACAAGGGCTTGCTCTGTTTTTCAACAGTCCTTGGACTTCAGCATGATTACTTCTCAGCTGCTGACTTGTGTGGCAATTTCAATTTTCTGTGCCTTAAAAGCCAGCTCCCTGGACACCTTTATTGCAGCTGTTTATGAGCATGCAGTGATTTTGCCGAATGCCACCCTGGCACCAGTGTCCCGTGAATTGGCATTGGGGTTAATGAACAGAAATCTGGACCTTTTGGAGGGAGCGATCACATCAGCAGCAAAACAGGTACCTCCTCTTGAGTGTGCTGGCTTCTATGTAGAGAGTGGGGTCCCAAGAGACAGAGTCAATTACCAGGGTCAATTAAATATGTGTCCGAGTATGTATTTGCATATGTGTTAATGAAACCGGACAACTAATGGGTCCGGGCTGCCTGTCACTACTTGAGCCAATTAAGCAGACACAGGTTTTGTTAATGGCAGAAATCAGGTGAGCGGGAAGCGACAAACCATACGCACTCGGAGATTCAAAAAAGGACTGTTCATTCCAATACTGCCGGCAGATGGGGGAGCAGCCGGTCATTCCCCAAAATCTGCTCTGCTGCCCCCCATAGGCCAGCTGCTTATATAGGGTAGGACAAAGATTACACAGGGAAATTGGACTATAGGCATGGGGATGTAGGAAGCTGGGGGGTTGTGGGGTGGGGGTGGGGAGGACTCCATTGTTTGGGTAACAAGGTTGTTAATCTTTCCCTGAGAATAGACGGCATTCCAAGGTTGACTCCCAGGTCCCAAGGGCCTACAATTCCCAGCCAGGTCAGAATGTCCTTTCTTTAACCAACACAAGGCAATCATGGCTAACAGAGCATGATCACTATGTCCCACAACCATAGCCAGTCCCCAGTATTCCTTTCTTGCCCCTAACAGGTTGAGTCATATGAGCATTTATTCCACAACAAGCTGGCAGTATGGGAGAACAGTAGGTCACCCACAAAAGTCTGCTTTGCACCCTTCCATAAACCAGCTGCTTCTATGGGGTAGAAGGACAAAGATTACATGGGGAAGTGGGCAAAAGGAATAAGAATGGGTATGCAAAAGGAACAAAATTGGGTATTACAGGCGTGGGGAAGTAGGCAAATAGAATAAAAATGGGTAAAATGATTACAGATTACTGGCAATGTGGACTAGGGGGTGGGGTGCTTCCAGGATCCCATTGTTTCACAATAAGGCTGTTAATCTTTCCATGATGATAGGCAGTTCTCAGTAAAAGGAGAATGGGTTCCATTTCTAAATTAACTCCCATGTCCCAGGGTTTACTACTCTCAGCCTGGTTAGAATGTGCTTTCTCTGTCCGAACAGACCAATCACAGATAACAGAGCATGGTTAATAGTACTGCCCCTAACATTAAAGTAGGTGAAGACATATATGTCAGGGTAGCCAAGAACTTTTGTTTTCCCCAAATTATTAGAAAAAGGACATTATTAGTTCCCTAATAGTGAGACAAACTTAAGAAAAGAACAGCTTGGTTATCATTCAGGGGCAGCACTCCTTTGAGAAACTTGCTGTAAGTTCAACAACTTTGTTGCTCTTTTCTGCTACAGATGGAGGGTGGGGGATAAATGGGTCAGGGGTCACGTGCTATTTTTAGAGTATTAGCCGCCTTGGTGCACTTTGTTCTCTTAAGAGTGTGCAGGGTTTTAGGTGAGTTTATAACACCAAAACAAACTTAAGTTGCAAACTACTTAACTGTATGTATTATATACTTCAAACTTCATTCTAATTACAAGATACTTCATACTTCATAATACTAACACATGCTAATGTATGTTTTACATATGTATACAATCCATATAAAGCTATCTATTATATACTTCATATTTCATTTTAATTAGATAAAAGTATATGTGCTTTCTATCTATTATATACTTCATATTTCATTTTAATTAGATAAAAGTATATGTGTTTTATTATTGTATTTTTTATTCTGTATTAGTTTCAGGTGTACAGCATAGTTGTTAGGAAATAATGTTCTTTACAGAGTGGTCCCCCCAATATTTCAAGTTCCCATACATAGTTATTATGATTTCGTTGACTATATTCTCTATGCTATAATTTGCATCTTTGAGACTATTCTGTAACTACCAATTTGTAAAAAGTATACTAGTATATGCTAATGCATAGTAAGTCCTTGAGTTAAATGAAAGGTTTAAGGTTAAGTATGTGGTTTAAATAAGATATTCATAACTCAGGTATAGACAGATATGTGAAATGTCATGAAAGTCAAGGATATATACATATAACATATCTATCAATACACATTCTTATGCATACAAAAATCAGCTTCCAAGATGACTCTCCCACCCGAAGGTGCCCAGGTTGTACCTCTAGCCCCCCCCCTGAGAAGCAGGAATCATGTTTGCAGGGTATACAGCAGGGAAGGCTGGAGCAGAGGAAAAGAATTTGAATTATAAATCAATTCCATACACTCAGGTACAAGAGTTGGTCTAAGTTCAGGGAGGGAGTGATTTGGGGAAGAGCTAGGTTTATAGTTAACAACTGCAATGGGTGTCAACTTGTGAGTAGCCTGGAAAGCTATTCATGCTTAGGAAAAAAAAAAAGAAAACATCTATAATAATAAAAGCATAATATGCTAATTAGACCGATGTCCTTCCAGAAGAAGTTGGGGCTGTGAGGGAGGCCCAGGGCCCAGGTGCCAGAGGAAAGCTGGTGCCAGCAGCTGGGGGAAGGAAGGCCTACTCTTGCACAAATTTTGTGCATCGGGCCTCTAGTTATAAATAGAGAATGATGTCAGAATTGGAAAATGCAAGTAGTTGGGCAAAGAAAATAAATTATAAGAGTATAGAAAACAAAGGAATAAGATTGAAAGGGAAAAACATACACCTGAAGGTGGTTTGTCAGCCACTCACTTCCTCAAGTCCTCTTGCAGGCAGGCCCCTTTTTGGTTGTTTGCTTATTTGAGAAATATTTTAATTAAGCTGCATGTTTAACAGGGTGCACATATTATTGTGACTCCAGAAGATGGCCTTTATGGCTGGAACTTCAATAGAGAATCTATCTACCCATACCTGGAAGATATCCCAGACCCTCAAGTGAACTGGATCCCTTGTAATCATCCCAACAGGTAAACAGACAGACTTAATAAATGCAATCATGAACATGAGCTTACTTCACTTGGGAAAATTTTGCAGAAGATCATTGCATAAGATCCACTATCAATTCTAAGTTTCAAGACAGCTTTATTATTTTTCATCTCATTTGGAAATATTTAATAGAAAAGTAACTATGTATTATAAAATCACAGAAATCAGTGCTGGAAGGTAACATAGAAACCATCAAATCCACTGAGGGGCTGGATCTGGTCATGGGGTAGGCAGCTGGTTAGTGGGAGAATCAGATCCAAACTCTAGTCTTCTGACTTCTTACTAGTGAACAGAAAAATTGTTTCCCTGTTGTGTCTATAATTTGAAAAATATGTGAATAAATAGCAAAATAGTCATGTGTCAGTTGAGAATTTCAAAATTTTCTTTCTCATCCATCAGATAGTTAGTTGATGTGGTTAATGCATACAGAATCCTTAAAGCCTAAGCTAATTGTCAATCTAGTAGGTGATGTAGCAGAATGTTTAAGTGGTTTAAATCAAGTCTAGTCCAAAGAAATATGAAGTGTGATGAAAGTAGCACTGTTACTTTTAATATAAGCAAAACAATATCTGATGCACCTAAGAGATTCATGTCAGTTAACTCACTTATTTCCAAATGCTAAAATTCTAGGAATTTCTCTTTTGGAATTGCTCTCAAAACTACACAAACTACTGTAACTGCTTATAGAGCCATCTTGATTTTGACCAAGTTTAATATTATTTATCATAATTATCTACTCACATTTCATTGTATCATAACTATTTCATATTTTTCCATTTCTAATGCTAGAAATTCAGTTTCTAAAAGCCCCTCTGTTATCACTTCCATTATAAAGTAACTTTATTTGGTTCTTTTTCTTAATCCTCACCCCAGGATATTTTTTCCATTGATTTTTAGAGAGAGTGGAAGAGAGAGGGAAAGACAGAAACATTGATGTGAGAGAAACATATTGATTGGTTGTCTTCTGCACAAGCCCCGACCAGGACTCAGGCTGGGGAGGAGCCTGCAACTGAGATATGTGCCCTTGACCAGAATCGAACCCGGGACCCTTCGGTCCGCAGGCTGATGCGAGGCTAAGCCAAACCAACAAGGGCTTCACTTGGTTTTTAATGGCTCTTCCCTAGAACCAAATTTCCAAGAGCCTCCAGAAAATCCCCATTTCAAAAAGTCTTGTTTTCTATTTATATTTTTCACCAATTACATCTCCGTTCCTTGCCTTCATTCAGTTATTGAACAAATTTTTTGAGAACCTATTATTTACAGCAAGCATGTCAAACTCACGGCCCACGGGCTGCATGCGGCCCACAATGAATGTTTTTGTAGCCCAGCCAATATAACGGTATGTAAGAAACGTTTTAATAAAAATTTCGTAACTGAATTTTTATAATATCCTGTTACACATAATTATTAATAATGAACTACACATTCACTAATGACTGATTACTATAATCGTGTTGCATCCATTTCCCTTACATGCCTTATGCGCAGGCACACCATTTCTCTCCACTAATACTAGCAGCGAATATTTCAGCAGCTGATGGCCATGTCATTAGTCTTGGACTAACTTGTTTGGTGCCCGCAAAAGGAAATATTTCACTTGTGGAGAACAAGAAAAATAGATTAATTTGCATTATGCTTATTAATTTGTGCAGTTATTCAGTGTTTGGTAAGTTAATGTTCAAGAAAAAATAATTTTTATTAAAATGTTCTATTATTTTATGTAAATGATTACTCATTTATTTCAGCCCTTTGTTTTCAGCATGTCTCTATTGAAATACAGCTATGTTCCTATGAAAATTGAAGCTTTTGTTTTTTTGCGGCCCATATAAACTTAAACCTTGTTTATTTGGCCCATGTTAGCTCTTGAGTTTGACATGCTTCATGTACAGGTACTATTCTGAAAAATGGGGTGACAAAAACAGATTAAAAATATATTGACCTGGAAAGATTTGATCAATATGTTTCAAGTGGTTCAATGTGTTATATTTATTCCTGTGCATTTCCTATAGAATTGAAGCAAATGATGGGAAAAACTATCAAATGGTCACATATAAATGCATTAAAATAAGTTTTTAAATGTGTCCTTGTATCCGTGATCTTTTACAAGGATATATTTTCAGGTGATTGCTACGGTTTTGTACTAATTTATAAATTTAATGGTCTAGATTTGATACTCAAAGAAAGCTTTTGTTACTATTGCCAGCAGATGGCACCACGTTTTCATTCATTCAACAGCTCTCCTAGTCTTAGCTACTCTTCAATAACCTAGTAGTAACCATTTTTAAGCTATTTTTGTGTGGTGCCAATACAAAATAAATATGGATAGATATTACATATTCTGAGATCTCACTTTTCAAAATTGCATTTTAATTCCTTTTCTGGGACAACTGGTAATATGATAAAAGTAAAGAAATTAAGCATTAACAAATGTTCTTGTATTCCCATCTTTCCATACTGGCTGGCACCATTCTAGCCCAACTCGTGTTGTCTCTAATCTCAACCATTGAAATAACTTCCTAATGGTTTCCCTACACTTAGTCTCTAACCATTCTAGTCCATTTGATACTGTGATGTCCTATTAAAGAAAATTCAGATCCTGTTACTAGTCCTCAAAGCATTGAATGGTACCTCCTTGTCTATTAAATTTGGAACAAGTTTCTTAGCCTCTTGTGCAGAGTTCTATCCCTTATGACTCCAAATAGGCAAAGGGTCTAAACAGACAGTTTAAAAAAAAAAAAAGAAATTATCTTTATTGTTGAAAGTTATACAGATGTACCCTTTTTGCCCCCATTCACCCTTCTAGCCCACTCCTTCCCCCGATGCCAGGCCTTTACCAGACTATTGTCTGTGTCAATGGGTTATGCATATATGCATATAAGTTCTTTGGTTGATCTCTTGCCACCCACCCACCCTGCCTTCCCTCTGGTTATTTGTATGCCTTATGATTTTTTTTGATAAGTGGACATTTGAATCTTACAATGTGATAACTGGAAATCAAAACTTCTTCCTTCCCCGGGGTTTTGCATCTCTTGTTTGTTTGTTTTGATTGTTACAAGCTGTTTCTGTGCTGGGCATAAGCTTGAGGTGTAACTTAAGGTCTTCTGAGGTCTTTTGTTAGCCTGTGCCTTTCCCTGGGCATGTACGGTGACTTTTTAAATTCTCCTATACATGCGATTGCTTTTTTATGTCCTAGTCCTTAAATGTCTGGTGCCCAAAAGGGGGAAAAAAAATAAAGACTGTATAAATTCCCTAGAAGTCACTAGCAACAATGCATGAGGGGTGCAGCAAAGGCTGCCTGCCCCCGAGTCTGCATCTCTGAGATCAGAAGCAGTTATCGATGCTCAGAACACAGATTCCCAATATTTGGAGGAAAGGGGCCTTATTGCTCACCTTGCTCCCACAAGCTGCCTGCAAGGTGCTCCGGGGACACCTGCATGGCTGCCTGCCCTGGGGGCTGGGGGAAAGATGGGTCATGGGTAGTCACTGCTGAACCAGTGTTAAAATAGACTGAAATTAACTGCAATTTACCCTGGAAGTTTCAAGCCTTCAAATAAACTGCAGAGTTCCCAAGTATTATGTCAGACCAATTCTGCAATTGTTATCTAAGTAGAGGAATAGATTCTTGGTGCTTCCAACTTTGCCATCTTCCTAGAATCCTCGCTCTAAGTTGACCTTCTTTCATTCAAAATACTTTTTTTTTAAAATATATTTTTTATTGATTAAGATATTACATATGTGTCCTTGTCCCCACGTTACCCTCTACCCCCCAACCCCCCACCCCCGCTCATGCCCTCACCCCCCCGTTGTCCATGTCCATTGATTAGGCCTATATGCTTGCATATAAGCCCTTTGGTTGATCTTTCCCCCTTACCCCCACCCTCCCCTACCTTCCCTCCAAGTCCCGACAGTCCAATCAATGCCTCTCCGTCTCTGGATCAGTCCTTGTTCATCAGCTTATGTTGTTCATTATATTCCACAAATGAGTAAGATCATGTGGTATTTATCCGCTCTCCAGTTCCATCTATGCTGTGGCAAATGGTAAGAGTTCCTTTTTCTTCTTCCTCTTCTTAAAGAATACCTTTCAGCATTTCATATAATGCTGGTTTGGTGGTGATGAACTCCTTTAGCTTTTTCTTATCCGTGAAGCTCTTTATCTGACCTTCTATTCTGAATGATAGCTTTGCTGGATAAAGTAATCTTGGTTGCAGGTTCTTGCTATTCATCCCTTTGAATATTTCTTGCCAGTCTCTTCTGGCCTGCATGGTTTCTGTTGAGAAATCAGCTGACAGTCGTATGGGTACTCCCTTGTAGGTAACTGACTGTCTTTCTCTTGCTGCTTTTAAGATTCTCTCTTTATCTTTTGCTCTTGGCATTTTAATTATGATGTGTCTTGGTGTGGTCCTCCTTGGATTCCTTTTGTTTGGGGTTCTCTGCGCTTCCTGGACTTGTAAGTCCATTTCTTTCACCAGGTAGGGGAAGTTTTCTGTCATTATTTCTTCAAAAAGGTTTTCAATATCTTGCCCTCTCTCTCCTTCTGGTACCCCTATAATTCTGATGTTGTTATGCTTGAAGTTGTCCCAGAGGTTCCTTACACTATCTTCATATTTTTGGAATCTCTTTTCTTTTTTCTTTTTCGGTTGGGTATTTTTTGTTTCTTTGTATTTCAAATCTTTGACTTGATTCTTGGGATCCTCTTTTCTGCTGCTGGATCTCTGTAAATTATTCTTTATTTCAGTCAGTGTATGCTTAATTTCTAGTTGGTCCTTTTTCATGTCCTCCATGGTCTCACTATACTTATTGAGGGATTCATTAAATTTATCGGCGGTTTCCATAAAATTCTTGAAAAACCTTATAAACGTGGCCTTGAACTCTATATCCAATCGTTTGCTTTCCTCCATTTCTGCCATTTGTGACCTGTTTCTTTGTCTCCGCATTTTGGCAGCTTCCCTGTGTTGATAGAGTGGCCCTGTGCGCCAGGTGTCCTGTAGGGCCCAGTAGCTCAGCCTCCCCAGTTACCTGGGGTGGACACTCTTGGTGCCTTGGTTGTTGTAGAATCACTGGGAGGAATTGACCTCCAGGCCAATTGGCTGTGAGAATCAGCTGTGTCTAAAGTGGGAGAACTTCTGTGCTGAAGACACCCTTCTGGGGCAAGACTTGCTTCAGTGGGGCTTTGGTGCTCACTGAGTCTGCTCCCTGAGTGTGTCCCTTATGGATCTGAGGAGTTGCAGTCTGGATGGACCCCCTCTGACCACTGGGTACAGTGGCTCCTGGATCTAAGGAGGTGCTAATTCAGCCTCTGCCTGAGGCCACACAGCAGGAGCCACGAAGAGGCTCAGCTGTGAAGCAATGCAAGCCGCTGCGGGGCCTTGGGCCTTCTCTTGGAAGTTCAGGGTCTGCCTGGTTCGGCTGCAGTTAGGTACATTCACATGCAAAAGCCTCTGCCGCAGCCTGGGTGGGGCGGGGTCTCAGGGAGTCAAAGGGCGGAGAAAGCAGCCATGGCCGATTCTCCGCCCTGAGTCGCGCGTCTCAGTGTCCAGGTAACGGCTTCAAGCACCTCTGAGGGAAAGCCGCCCTCAAGTTCGCTCGCTGCCGGACAGACCAGCCTCTCCCCGTATGAGTCCTGGGTCCCCAGAGACTTCCCGGAACCGGAGTTCAGAGCAGTCGGGAGTTTGTGACTCAAAAAGTCAGCCGCGTCCTCAGGTGCCACCCCCTTTCCTCGCGCGCGCGCGCGAGCCGCTGTACCTCTGCACTTCACCTCCGCAGCGCCTCTGGCTCTCAGCGTGCTTTTCTTTCCTTCTAGTTGTAGACTTTACACTCAGCCAGCCTTCCTGTTGTTCTGGATGATGTTTGCTCAGTCCTTTGCGGTAATTTTCAATTGTTGTGTGAGGCGACAATTTCCCGGTGTTTACCTATGCCGCCATCTTAGTTGCTCTCCGCAAGGGATCCAAAATACTTTTTTAATGCCTGTTTTCTGTCAGGCATGGGTTCAGTGAATAGGAGATGTGTGTGTATTTGCCCCATAATAGCTATAAGATGTAACATACAATATATGATTAACACGTGAATGCATACATGATTATGAATGATGATAAATGCTATGAAGAAAAAAATACATGGCCTGGAGTGTTACTCTAGAATCATTTTCTACAGATGAATTCCCCACAAGCATGTACTTCCTCTGAAGTCTCTTTTTGTTTTAATCTTTCCCTTCTACCTATGTCATTTAGAATTTATTGTGTGTGTGTGTGTGTGTGTGTGTGTGTGTGTGTGTGTTGCATAGTAGGTTCAGGCCGCTATCATCCTGAGTTTTATTAAAAGCTAAGCTTGATTTTTGTTTTCCTCTTCCAATAACACATACCAGATTTGGCCACACCCCAGTGCAAGAAAGACTCAGCTGCCTGGCCAAGGAAAACTCTATCTATGTTGTGGCAAATATTGGGGACAAGAAGCCGTGCAATGCCAGCGACCCCCAGTGTCCTTCTGATGGCCGTTACCAATACAACACTGATGTGGTGTTTGACTCTCAAGGAAAACTGGTGGCACGCTACCATAAGGTAGAATTTAATGCAAGTAGTTAGTAAATGCATAACAAATTAAAGTGGACAATAGGGGGAAATCCTTATTATTGATAAGAAGCATACTTTAGAAGCTGAGTAGAGACAAAGAAGAGAAAGTAAAGATTAGGTGTGTGTGCATTTAGGAACAGGAGTGTGTTGTTGGGAGTGTGTGAGAATCAGTAGGACCTACCTGCATTGAAATATATGTCATCTTTTGGACTTTCTCCTTTTAAAGACATGCTTTGGCAATGGCTCAAGGCTAGAATGAAAAAACACTTACCAGATAGACTTGGTTTTAACAAGAAGGAAGCAAAGAAAGTCCTTTATCCTCAGAAAATCCTCATTCTTGGCAAATATGTGTTATCTATTTCACTCCTACCTCTTGTAAGATTCAAGGTCTTAAGAGATAAGGATTTCCTTGTACATATCTAAAAATGTGGAGATTGAACCAAAAGCTCCTATTAGCCGTAGTAGTCTCAAGTTCTGCACTCTTTCCCTATGAAGCTGATGGTCATAGATGAAATTAACACTGCCGAATCAATGTGCACTTGTACTTTTTCAGACACAGTGACATCCAAGCAACTTCTAAAAAGAGATTTACCCCGTCTTTGTCTTCTGTTCATTGCAGCAAAACCTTTTCTTGGGTGAAGATCAATTCAATGTACCCAAGGAGCCTGAGGTTGTGACTTTCGACACCACCTTTGGAAGGTTTGGCATTTTCACATGCTTCGATATACTCTTCCACGACCCTGCTGTGGCCCTGGTGAAAGACTTCCATGTGGACACCATACTGTTTCCCACAGCGTGGATGAATGTTTTGCCACATCTGTCAGCTATTGAATTCCACTCAGCTTGGGCTATGGGCATGAAGGTCAATTTCCTTGCATCAAATATACATCACCCCTCAAAGAAAATGACAGGTAATGTATAATTGTTAAGATTCACAAGCTTAATGGAATCCAAAAATAAAAAAAAAAAAAAAGAAAAAATTCTTTTTTAACTAATATGTACTCCTTAAACACAGTGTTTTTCAACTCCTAATTTTTGTGTATCTAGCTGGTGACATGCTGTAGAATTAATCTTCATATAAATTGTTTTCAGATTTATTTAGTTTTATTCAACTTGAATAACACCCTTTTTCATTTTTCCCCCAAATTCACCACTTCTTATGTGACAACTCTTCTTGGCTTCTTGGTGTCAGACTCTATTGGATTTTTATCATCTGTTGTCCTTGGCATATTTCACTGAAGTTAGTAAAAATACTAGTATATAACTTAGAGGAAGTAAAATGTTAGTGTGAGTTTAAAATAGTAACAACTGTTATTATTTTCACTTTTCTGTTTCAAATGTGATTTCCAACTTATCGCTTCCAGGAAGTGGCATCTATGCACCTGATTCTCCAAGAGCATTTCATTATGATATGAAGACAGAGAAGGGAAAACTCCTTCTCTCACGATTAGATTCCCACCCAAAGCACCCAGTCATGGTGAATTGGACTTCTTATGCTAGTGGAATAGAAGCATTCTCAATGAGAAACAAGGAGTTTAAGGGCACTGTCTTTTTTGATGAATACACCTTCTTGGAGCTCAGAGGAGTCACAGGAAATTATACAGTTTGTCAGAAAGATCTCTGTTGTCATCTAAGCTACAAGATGTCTGAGAAGAGAGCAGATGAAGTGTATGCCCTAGGGGCATTTGATGGACTACATACTGTTGAAGGGAACTACCATTTACAGGTAACGTTTATTTGGGTGGCAGTGGAGTTACCAGATAAAATATAAGATACCCAGTTCAATTTGAATTTCAGGTAAACAATGAATTGGTTTTGGTATAAGTGTGTCCAACTTTGGAGGATATGTGTACCAAAAATTTTGTTGTTTGTCTGAAATTCAAATTTAGTTAAGCATTGCCAACTTGCAATTGTCAATGTCAGTCTAATATTAAACTGGTTGGAAAAAGGCAGAACATTTATTTTGCAGTACCAATGTTTGAAATGATATAATAGTCACATTGGAGACAATTTTAATGGGTAAGTAATGTCTGATATTTCTTACCTGAACAAAGTTAGCCATTTTCCCAATATGTTCACTAATGCCTATTTTGTTGAATACAGCTTAACAGTAAGTATGTCCTGGAGACATATGAAGTTGATCTCTGAGATGTACAGTGAAATAGTTTATTGCTGAAAAGATTCAGCTATGAAGGAGGAACTATAATAGTCTTACGTGATGGGACTCATAAAAAAATCAGACTTTTTGTTCTTCCCATTCTGGTCTTATCATTCGTGATCTGGTCTCCAATCCTTTTTTGCCCAGATTATTGCAATATCCTGAGACTGAAAGCCCTTTGAGTGATGGAACTGCCCCCATGGTGTAACATTTTGTTTGCTATGTGATAGGCACTCTACAATGTTTGTTCATTTTGACAAAAAATTATCAAGTGCCTACTACATACCAGGTATATATTCTGTGTTTATTATATGAAAACTAGAGGCCTGGTGCATGAAATTCGTGCACAGGTAGGGTCCCTAGGCCTGGCCGGCAATCAGGGCCAATTGCTGGCCTGGGCCTTCTTTCATTCCATGATGCCCCCTGGTGGTCAGCGCACATTATAGTGAGCAGTTGAACTCCCGAGGGGACAATTTGCATATTAGCCTTTTATTATATAGGATGAATAAGTCTAGACCAGTGGTTCTCAACCTTTCTAATGCCGTGACCCTTTAATACAGTCCCTCATGTTATGGTGACCCCCAACCATAAAATTATTTTCATTGCTACTTCATAACTGTAATTTTGCTACTGTTATGAATCGTAATGTAAATATCTGATATGCAGGATGTATTTTCATTGTTACAAATTGAACATAATTAAAGCATAGTGATTCATCACAAAAACAATATGTAATTCTATATGTGTTTTCCGATGGTCTTAGGCGACCCCTGTGAAAGGGTCGTTCGACGCCCAAAGGGGTCACGACCCACAAGTTGAGAACCGCTGGTCTAGACCCTCCTCATGAGGAATCTTCCCTGGATCCCCAATTCAGGCTAAGTACAGCTCCTTAGTATTTCTACAGCAAAATGTGCATTCTCTGTTCTATCAGATGCCAATCTGTACTGAAGTTATCTGTTCATTTCTAGGTAAAAAAGTGTGGGAGGGAACTCTAGGTGGAGTGGAGAGCATGATCAAGGGTGTAAATTTGTGAGAGAACAAGGTATGCAAGGAAGAGCAAGCAGTTTGGTGTTACTAAGGCATAACCTAACAAGTCAGGACCGATGGAAGAAGAACCTAGAGCAGTGGTTCTCTACCTGTGGGTCACGACCCCTTTGGGGGCCGAACGACCCTTTCACAGGGGTCGTCTAAGACCATCAGAAAACATTAGGAAGGTTGAGAACCACTGGTCTAGAATGTGCCAGGTTCTGGCAAGAGTGGCTGGTTGAATGTGATGCTCTGACAGAACAGAATGCATGAGGAGGAGCAAATTGGGTAGCAGTGGGCACTGCTCAGTTTTGCTTGGGCCTTGTTGGTTTTGGAGTACTTAAGGTACATTCAGCTGGGGCCATCCATGAGGTTGTTGAATATATGGGTCTGATGCTTATGGCAGACACTGTATTTAGAACTATTGTTTTGAGAATCAGCAGGATAAAGGTCTTGGTTAAACCCACAAGGCTGAATGGTGTGAAAAGGTGACTTACATAGCCTGTAAAGAACCGTGGTCTAGGGGTGGAACCTTCAGAGCTCCAGTGTTTGAGCAGAAAATGGATAGAGAATTAGGACCTGCAAATAGGATTTAAACATAAAGGAAAACTTAGAAAGAGAACAATCATGGACAGGAAGGAAGTAGAGACCTAGGAGGAGAAAATTGTTAAGTGTGTTAATGCAATATGTTTAACATTACTGACATAAATAAGTGCAATTTTGGTAGAATTTCCTGGGCTTATAATGACACAGTGAAAGACAGATTACAGTAGGTTGAATAGTTGAAGGGAAGTAAAAATTTTGCAAGAATGAGTGACTGGTTTCCTCTTCAAAACTCTTTTTTAAAGTACATATATTTTAATTGATTTCAGAGAGGAAGGGAGAAAGAGAGAGAGATAGAAACATTGATTGGCTCCCTCCTACACGCCCCCTACTGGGGATCAAGCCTGCAATCCAGGCATGTGCCATGACCTCCTGGTTCATAGGATGACGCTCAACCACTGAGCCACGCTGGTGGGGCCCTTTTCAAAACCCTTGTCTGAGACAGGAGGAAGAGAAATGAGACAAGAACTAGACAGACACTGGCCGCAAACGCTGTTTTTGGTCTTTGTTTTTCCATAAGATGAGAGAACCTTGATTATTATTAGGTCTAAAAGAAAGAGCAACAAAAAAGTTTGAAAATGTAGGACATCAGTGTTCCAAGGTACTGGAGAAAGGAGGGAAAATGGTATCGAGAAAATGCCCAACAATTAAAAATTAAACAAGTTGTTTTGTAGAAAATTTATTGACATATAAATATTACCATATATTCTGTGACATTTTGACATTAATTGCACTTATGTATATGGGACATATATGATATTACATTGCCATATTTTTAAAATTCAAAGCTTATGAGACATAATTTTTTCTTTTTTTGTGATAGATTTTTTAAGTTGGTTGTAAAACAAGATAGCCATCTATTGGCGCTCTCTCTCTCTCTCTCTCTTTCTCTCTCTTTTCCTTTCCCCCCTCAATCTTGTCCTGCCTTTCTGTCTCCCCCAGAGTCTTGGCTCCACTGGAGAGAGAAGTGGTAAGTCCCTTCTCGGTGTGAGGACTGTCAAGTAAACAGAGCCCGCTGTTATTTTGCTGGGCCGTGTGCCCTTGACAAAACCACTGGTGCCTGACAGGTTTTGGAATTTAAAATTCTCAATTTAGTAGTTTTTTCAGATATAGGGTGACACGTTAGGATTACTGAAAACTGACTGAGAGCTCTGAGCACGTGGGTAATCCTTGCCTTTCCAAGCTGCACAGTAGGGTGATTTAACTCAGCCTTTGGTTAGGGGAATCCCTCAGGTGAGTATCTGTAGAGACTTCCTGCTGGGTTGGTCAGGTTTTTCAAGCTTTAAAACCCTTCTAACGCAGGATGACCAAGTAAATGTAAAGTTCAGGTAAGCAAGGAATCTTGTTTTTTTTAAAAAAAATGTATTTTATTGATTTTTTACAGAGAGGAAGGGAGAGGGATAGAGAGTTAGAAACATCGATGAGAGAGAAACACCGATCAGCTGCCTCCTGCACACCCCCCCTGGGGATGTGCCTGCAACCAAAGTACATGCCCTTGACTGGAATCGAGCCTGGGACTCTTCAGTCCGCAGGCCGACACTCTATCCACTGAGCCAAACCGGTTAGGAATCTGATTTTTAAAATGTAAGTATGTCCCTTGTGATATTTGGGACATTCTCATGTTAAAAACTATTTTTACTGTTTTTAACTTATCTGAAATTAATTTAACTGGAACTCCTGTCTAGCACCTGTATTCCTGAAGGGTAAATGCCTTGCTGGCAGTGCTTAGTCAAGTGGGAGAAATGACCGCACGGGGTGGGGTTGTGGTAAAGTCAGATGATCCCAACATTTGGCATGATTAATTCATGCAATCCCCTTCACCCACGTCATTTAAAACCTCCATATAAAGGTCATCTGCGTTACCCCCTCTGAAAATAAATGCCCGTCTTTCACTGGAATAGGGGAGGGGCAGTTGCCCATCCGTGGTGGGGACTCAGTATCTGTGGCACCTTTAACAACTTCCCACCAATTTTCCTTACTTTAGCCACCACATCTTTAATAGCTGCTGAGGTACTGAGGCAGCAGGAGTGGAATCTCTCGAGTATTCTGCAGTGTAGTCAGGGTTGATTCTTGGCTTTCCTCACTACCAATTTAGGACTTGGTGTTCTTAGATCAGCTAACTCAGTTACGACTTTGGCATTAACATCCCTTCTTCTAAAATTGCGCCATGGTCTATCCTCCTGGACCCCTATCCTTCTAGACTTATATCTTAAAAACATTAATGTTAGTTTTAATAGGATTTCAAGGGAACAAAAAGAAGCATGTATTCTACCTTTATCAGAAAGTTATTTGTATCCCATCTTAACACACTGCCTTAAATGCTTTCTGTTTAACTTCAAAAGAAGACATCCTTTTTTTTTTCCCCCATTGCTAGTTGTATTAGCTATTCAGCAGTGAACTGGATTAATCAATTGAGGAAATAATATTATTTTTCCAAACAAAGGAACCCGGGCATTTTTTTTTCAGGGTCAGGAGAGTGTTTCTATTGGCTTGCCTAGGAATTAATGGTTTGCCTTTACTTTCTAGATTTGCACTCTGCTGAAGTGTAAAACAACGAGCTTACACACTTGTGGTCACGCAGTTGAAACTGCTTCTACCAGGTTTGAAATGTTCTCCCTCAGTGGCACATTTGGAACCCAGTATGTCTTTCCTGAGGTGCTGCTGAGTGAAATTCAGCTTGCACCTGGAGAATTTCAGGTAAGAATCTTTGCTTAATATTGACAACTCATTTCATGTAAGAGGAAGCACTTTTTGAGTACAAAACCTATCCAAGTGCTTACAATCATAAAAATCTCTATTTGAAAAGGGTAAAATTGTCCTTAGGGCTAAGGAAAGACACTGAGCAGGCTGTGTTTTTAAAAATATATATTTTTTATTGATTTCAGAGAGGAAGAGAGAGGGAGAGAGAGATAGAAACATCAATGATGAGAGAGATTCATTGATAGGCTCACCTCACACTGGGGATCGAGCCCGCAACCAGGGCATGTGCCCTGACTGGGAATCAATCCATGACCTGCTGGTTCATAGGTCGATGCTCAACCACTGCAGGCACATCCCACTGAGGATGTGCCTGCAACCAAGATACATGCCCTTGACTGGAATCGAGCCTGGGACTCTTCAGTCCGCAGGCCGACACTCTATCCACCGAGCCAAACCGGTCAGGAATCTGTTTTTTAAAATGTAAGTATGTCCCTTGTGATATTTGGGACATTCTCATGTTAAAAACTATTTTTACTGTTTTTAACTTATCTGAAATTAATTTAACTGGAACTCCTGTCTAGCACCTGTATTCCTGAAGGGTAAATGCCTTGCTGGCAGTGCTTAGTCAAGTGGGAGAAATGACCGCACGGGGTGGGGTTGTGGTAAAGTCAGATGATCCCAACATTTGGCATGATTAATTCATGCAATCCCCTTCAACCACATCATTTAAAACCTCCAACCACGGCCAGGCTGCATTTTTTATCTGGAAAGCCTTAATATAATAATTAGTGTGTTCTTAAGATTAAAGAAACATACTGTTGTGGGAACTGCAGGGACAAGGCTGGGCTGTGTAAGGTAGAAAGAAGATTTGAAGAGTTTCAGGACTAATCCCACCAGAAAAAAGCCCCTTGGCATCACTGAGCAGTGATGGCTGAGGGTAGTTAAAAGGAATCCCTCTCATGATGTGGGCGAAGGTCCCATGTGATCATAGGAGAAAAGGAAAGAATGGAAAGCCAAGGAGAGAGAATGGCAGTGGCTGATGTTGGTAAGAAAGTAGAGTCGTTTTTTTTTTAATGTGTTTTTAGAGGCTAGAAATAATCCATATTGCCCAAGCACTCTGCCCAGCCCCATTTTTCTACTGGCTTTTCCTGCAAGTTCTGTTCTCACTCCTTTCTCCTGGTAGAAACAGCTACTGTGGGGAGTTGGGGGAAATGGGCAGGTTAGGGAGCCGTGGTGAGTGATTGACAGGCTTGATAGAGATTCAGCTGAAATCCCTCAGTCAGTCAATCCCTTCTAATCCTTCATGGAGTCTTTATCTTGTCTGAGAGGACTAGCTTTCTCTTATAGATTCCCAAATCCACTGTTTTATGTCTATTAACTTATGGGATGTTTCCTCAGGTAAATAAATGATAAGTTATTGATTATAGGCATTTCAATAATAAATGAATCAGTGCCAGTTCCCATGGCTTCAACTTTTCTTCTGTATCATTTCAAATATTTCTGATAGAACAGAATCTGGCCATTATATTTATTGTTCCCTTGTCCAGTTGTACTGATGTTAAAAGTGTGTTGTGGGTTGTAGAACTTAAAGTTAGACCCAGTCAACTTCTTTGTGTTTTAATTAGGTGTTGAGTGATGGACGCTTGCTGAGCCTGAAGCCACCACCTGGACCTGTCTTGACAGTAACTCTGTTTGGGAGGGTGTATGAGAAGGACCACACATCCAATGCTTCATCAGGCTTCATGGCATACACACTAACAATAATGCTCATAGTTATAACATCTATACTATACTCATTAAGTAGGTAGAATTTTTACATTTTCTTTATTTTATCTTGAATAATTTAAAAAATGATGGATGGATGCATGGATGGATGGATGGATAGAAAAGAAAGATGGGTCTGGTATACCTAAATATATATATATTTAGATACCACCCCCAAATCCATTCCAGACCGTATAGATTATATATATAATGACAGCATTTTAGAAAGGTAAATTCTATAAAATGAGGATAACAGTTATACCGACCTTTTAGGTTTTTTTTGGTGAGATTGTTTCAATGGTTCAGCCAACCTGCATATTTCAATTAGAAAATTAATGAATTCAACATCAGCTAATTGTCTTTGACCTGGTATCTAGCACTGAAGCATCCCAAAAGGCAGCTGAGCTTACATCTAGTGGGCCTTCATGTTTTTGTTTTTCATTGGTGACTTACTGCCTATTTACTGCTTATCTTGTCAGCCCACAAGCATATTAATAGGGTGGCGCTAGTGCAGACATTTACCAAATCTGACCTGCTACCTGTTTTCGTGTGGCCTGTGAGCTATGAAAGGTTTTTATGTTTCTAAATGGTTGAAAAAGAAAATCAAAAGAAGAAGACTATTTTGTGACACGTGATAATTATGTGAAATTCCAATTTTATTCTCCATAGCTAAACTTTTGTTGAATACTAGAGGCCCCATACACGAAATTTGTAGGTCGTCTGGAAGGTCATTCAGCTGTCCAGTCTAATTAGCATATTATGCTTTTATTATTATAGAGCGTCTCGTTCATTTGTTTAGGTGTTGTTGATGGTTGTTTTCATGTTACAATGGTGGAATTGAATAATTGTGACAAAGGCCATAGAGCCAGAAAAGCTAAAAATATTTGTTGCCTGGTTCTTTACAGAAAAAGTTTGCTGCCTCCTGCTCTAAAGCATTAAATAACAATGGATTTTAGTATTAAAAACCTGTAGTACAAGTCAGTGGGAAATTGCCCTTGAGTGTTTTTTTCACAATTCTTTCACACAAGGAGAAATAAAATATTTTTATCTGCTTTGTATTGAACTACCCTCACAAAAATTACCGTGATGAACATATGAACAAATATGCTAAATAAACTAATACCCCAAACAAGTGAACATAATTTTTATAAGCATAATTGGTATTTATTTCCTACATGATGTCATCTCATAAAGTCTTTTGTTGCATTTGGTAAGTTCTAAAATTCTTGTGAGAAATCATACTATTTTCATTTTCAATTTTTTCCTAGAGATCAACTAAGAACTGCTCATCTGAATATACAACCTGATATTTTTTCTGTGACTAACTTATTAGCTTTTCTTAGAATGAATTTACTTAAAATTCACTTCTTCAAATGAATTTTATTAAATATTGCAGCAGTGAATTTACTATTAAAAGTGGCACTGCCCTAGTCAGTTTGGCTCAGTGGATAGAGTGTCGGCCTGCAGACTGAAGGGTCCCAGGTTCCATTCCGGTCAAGGGCACATGCCTGGGTTGCAGGCTTGATCCCCAGTAGGGGGCATGCAGGAAGCAGCTAATCAATGATTCTCTTTCATCATTGATGTTTCTCTCCCTCTCCCTTCCTCTCTGATATCAATAAAATTTTTTTTTTAAAAAAGTGGCACTTACTACACTCAAACCCAGCTCGATTACTTTCTCAGTCTGGATTTTTTAATGCGTATATTTGTATTTTATGATAATCTTGATGTGCTTTTTAACTGTAATTTTAATTTCTTCTGCTTAAATCATTTGTGATGCTCATTTATACAAACAACACAATTCAAAGAAAGACCAATGCTCAAATACAATTGTTAAATCAATCTTTTTATACTTTGATGAATCAAATCATCCAGAGAGCAATTTTGACACTTCCACCTTTCTTTTTTTAATTATTAAATCTTTATTGTTCAGATTATTACATGTGTTCCTCTCTTTTCTCCCCATAACTCCCCTCCACCCAGTTCCCACCCCACCCTCCGCCCTCACTCCCCACCCACTGTCCTCATTCATAAGTGCGCGATTTTTGTCCAGTCTCTTCTTGCATCCCCCACACCCCTTTCCCCCCCAAGAATAGTCAGTCCACTCCCTTTCTATGCCCCTGATTCTATTATAATCACCCGTTCATTCTGTTCATCAGATTATTCACTTGATTTTCAGATTCACTTGTTGATAGATGTGTATTTGTTGTTCCTAATTTCTATCTTTACCTTTTTCTTCTTCTTCCTCTTCTTAAAGGATACCTTTCAGCATTTCATATAATACTGGTTTGGTGGTGATGAAGTCCTTCAGCTTTTTCTTATCTGTGAAGCTCTTTATCTGAGCTTCAATTCTGAATGATAGCTTTACTGGATAAAATAATCTTGGTTGTAGGTTCTTGGTATTCATCACTTTGAATATTTCTTGCCATTCCCTTCTGGCCTGCAAAGTTTCTGTTGAGAAATCAGCTGTTGAGAAATCAGCTGACAGTCGTATGGGTACCTCCTTGTAGGTAACTGACTTTCTTTCTCTTGCTGCTTTTAAGAGTCTCTCTTTGTCTTTTGCTCTTGGCATTTTAATTATGATGTGTCTTGGTGTGGTCCTCTTTGGATTCCTTTTGTTTGCGCTTCCTGGTGTAAGTCTATTTCTTTCACCAGGTAGGGGAAGTTTTCTGTCATTATTTCTTTAAATAGGTTTTCAATATCTTGCTCTCTCTCTCTTCTTCTGGCACCCCTGTTATTCGGATGTTGGTACGCTTGAAGCTGTCCCAGAGGCTCCTTACGCTATCTTCGTATTTTTGGATTCCTTTTTCATTTTGCTTTTCCGGTTGGGTGTTTTTTGCTTCTTTGTATTTCAAATCATTGACTTGATTCTTGTGATCCTCTAGTCTGCTGTTGGGAGTCTGTATAATATTCGTTATTTCAGTCATTGTATGCTTAATTTCCAGTTGGTCCTTTATCATAACCTTGAGGGTCTGACTAGATTTCTTGAGGACCTTACTACATTTATCTGCGGTCTCACCAGTTTTTTCGAGGGTCTTACTAAATTTATCAGTGGCTTCTAGTAAGTTCTTGAAACACCTTAAAAGTGTGGTTTTGAACTCTATATCCAGCAGTTTTCTTTCCTCCATTTCTGTCATTTGTATCCTGTTTCTTTGTCTCCGCATTTTTTATGCTTCCCTGTGTTGATAAGTGGTTTTCTGTGCTAAGTGATCTCTAGGGCCCAGTGGTTCAGCCTTCCCAATTACCTGAGGAAGACACTCTTGGTGCACCCCCTTGTGGTCTTTGTGCACAGTCTTGTAGTTAAGCCTTGATTGTTGTAGGTAAAACTGGGAGGGATTGACCTCCAGGCCAATTGGCTGTGAGAATCAGCTGTGTCTGCAGTGGGAGAACTTCTATCCTGGATCTCTAGGGAGGTGCTAATCTAGCCTCTGCCTAAGGCTATCCAGCAAACGCCTCCTTGCAAGGCTTGGGCAGGGCGGGTCCCAGGGGATCAACAGGGCAGGCAGATCGAGCAGTTATGGTTGCTACAAGTACCTCTGAGAGAAAGCTGCCCTCGAGTTCCGACCGATGCCAGACAGTCCGCTTCTCCCGTATGAGTCTGGGTCCCCAGAGACTAGCCCACAACTGGAACTCAGAGTCTGAAACTCCCTCCCGATTGAAAAAGACAACTGCGCCCTCAGCCGCCAGCCTGCTTCGCGTGTGCCTCTGTACCTTAGTATTTTACTTCCCAACTGCACCTCCTCTGAGTCTCGGTATGCTTTTCTCTTTCCTTCTAGTTGTGGAATTTCCACTCAGCCAGCCTTCCTGTGGTTCTGGGTGATGTCTGTTCCGTCTTTTAGTTGTATTTTTGAAGTGGTTGTGCCAGGCAGCAAACTCCGGTGTTTACCTATGCCGCCATCTTGGTTTCTCCCACTTACACCTTTAAAGATTACAACTTTTGTTATCAATTTCTTGATGATGTAACACACACACACACACACACACACACACACACACACACAGGCATATGCATTGGTAACCAGCTTCCAAGATGACCCCTAGTTATCCTCACCTCCAGGCTCCATGACTAGAGTATGTTTAAATATTCTGCTATTAGCCTTGTAAATTACAATAAGTCTGAATTCATTACCACTTTTATTACAACACATATCTCTAAAGTAGTTCTTCTTAAAAGTTTTCAGTGATTTTGTTTGCTCTGTTATCCTATGTAATAAAAGGCTAATATGCAAATTGTCCCCTCTACAAGGAGTTCAACGGGGAGTTTGACCAGGGGACAGGGCTAGCCAGCCAACTGCCCACAGCCCTTCCCCCTGGCTGGCCCAATTGGCCCCGATCAGGGAGGTCTGGCCAGATCCCACCTGTGCACAAATTCATGCACCAGGCCTCTAGTAAGACAATCACTTGGCTCTTTTTTTTTTCTTTATGTAGTTTATTTATTCTAAACAGCAACACTGACAAAATGCCATATAAACACAAAGGAAGTGATGCAGAAACAAAAGTCTGGTTGACTTTGGATCTGAGGATCACAGCAACACAACCCAGGTTCTGCGGAGAGAAGGACAGAGGTGTGAGGGAAGGGGACAGGCTGGTTTCTTTTTCAGACAGCCAGCTGGAGGGTATGTGTAGCTCTGCCAGTGGGAAGCATGCCTGCACCCGTGAGCAAAGGGAACTAGCTCCTCAGGGACTGATAGAAGTATAAAAGTTCATAATTTTACAGCAGTTGAAATCCTGATCTCAATCCTATCTAATAATAGAGAAACATGGTAATTAACCATAACTTTGCTACCCTTCCCATTGGCTAATCAGCAAGATATGCAAATTAACTGCCAACCAAGATGGCGGCCAGCAGCCATGCAGCTGAAGCGAACAGGAGGCTTGCTTGCTCCTGTGACAGAGGAAGCCAAGGTTCCCCGCCTGCCTCAGCCCAGCTCTGAGCTCCAGATGCAACAATGTTGCAATTTAGAAGCTAAACAAACCCAGAAACCTGCTTTCAGCTGCCAGCGGGCTCAGAGCTTAGAGCGCCAGTGATGGCAACAGAGTTTCAATTATAGAAGCTAAACAAACCCAGATACCTGCTTTCAGCCAGCTATAGCCTCAGAGCTGGAGCCAGCTCTCAGCTCCAGTGACAGCTATAGAAGGTAAATAAATCCCAGAATAAGAAAAAAAAAAGGCTGGGAGCTTCAGTCGCCCACCAGCCTGAAAACAGCCCTCAGCCCCTCACCCAGACTGGCCAGGCACCCCAGTGGTGACCCGCACCCTGAATGGTGTGTGACCAGCTGCAAACAGCCATAAGCCCCTCACCCAGGCTGGCCAGGCACCCAAGTGGGACCCCCACCCTGATCCGGGACACCCTTCAGGGCATACCAGCCAGCTCCCACCCCTGCACCAGGCCTCTATTCTATATAATAAAAGGGTAATATGCAAACTGACCCTAACAGCAGAAAGACTGGGAATGACTGGTCACTATGACACACACTGACCACAAGGGAGCAGACGCTTAATGCAGGAGCTGCCGTCTGGTGGTCAGTTGCTCTCACAGCAGGGAGTTCTGCTCAGTCACAAGCCAGGCTGATGGCTGCCAGTACAGCGGTGGTGGTTGGGAGCCTCTCTTGCCTCCTCCGCAGCGCTAAGGATGTCCAACTGCAGCTTAGGTCTGCTCCCTACTGGCAAGTGGGCATCCCCCAAGGGGTCCCAGACTGCGAGAGGGCACAGGCCGGGCAAATTTTTGTGCACCGGGCCTCTAGTATTAAAATAAAAGCAAGTTTTACATAACAATCAAAATACAAAAGACTGAAGGAAGCGACCCTATATGAAAAACTGAGCATTCAGCAAGTGGAGAATTGTGTATAGTGGTGGGAATGGGAAATTGCACCCGCCCACCTCTCCTTGGTGACTAGTAATTGTAAAGAGCAACATTAGATCTGCAAATCACTTGGCTCTTTACCTAATATTGTAATTTTAGGTGTGTGTATTTTTTTTCCTTCTTTCAAGATTTTATTTTTAAGTTTGTCTAGGATTTTATTTAGGTTGATGAATTTACATAAAATAGTTTGTCTATAATCCCTGGGTTTTGCTGAATAAAATAAATGCATCACTTTATTAAAAAAGATTCTCTCTTTGTCTTTAATCTTTTGCATTTTAATCACTATTTGTCTTGTTTGGGACTCTGCACTTTCTGGGCTTGTATGTTTATTTTCTTCACCAGTTTAGGAAAGTTTTCTGTCATTATTTTTTCAAATAGGTTTTTAATTTCTTGCTCTGTTTTTTCATTTGGGACATGTTTCTCTTTCTCCTCATTTTGGCAGCCTCCCTGGTTTGTTTTTATGTATTATGCAGGCCTGGTGCCTCTCCCAAGCTTGGTAAAGTGGCCGAATGTAGTAGATGTCAGAGTCTAAGACATCTATTCACCTGAGCTGGGCCCTCAGGTGCCCCCTCCCTGCATGGGCTGTGTAAACTCTCCTATTGTGTTTGAAACTTGATTACTGTTGGCATGTTAATGGGAGGGATTTATCCCCAGGCCACTCAGCTGCAAAAACTGACTGAGACCACCATGGAGGACCAGCTGTGCAGGGACCAACCATCGGGAGCAGGACTGACTTCAGTGGGGCTCTGGTGTCTGCTGAGTTTGCCTTTTGAGTGTGTCACTTGTGGAGGTGTTTGGGTGGTGCTTCGACACGGTCTGAAACATGGTCCACTTGGTGAGCTGGATCTGGAGCTTCCTAGTAGGTGCAGACCAAGGTCAGCATCTGTGCCTTGCCTCGGGCTACCCAGCATGAGTTACAAAGTGATCTGCAGATGACTGGTACTTATGCTGGGCTTACCAGTGCAGGTGCCTAGCAGAGGCCAAGCTGCAAACAAATGCCAGCTGGCGCTTGTGTCGGGCCTGGGGTCACTGAGTGAGAGGTATGGGCTCTCCGAGGCCAGATGCTGTTTGAGAGATTTTAGTAAAGT